CCGACGCCGCCGCTGACTCCGCTGACGACGCTTCCGCTGACGATGCCGGAACCGCCGCCACTGACGCCACCGACCACTCCGACGACTCCGCCTCCCCCGCTACCCCCGCTCGATCCGTGATCCTCCGAACTTCTGCAACACGACACCCGATCGTTAGAGATCTTTTCGTCGAATACGATCGTGTTTAACGAGAGTGCTACTTTAACTAGCGTTTCTCCGTTCGTCGTAACGGATCATCTAGTTTTGTTGCTGGCTAACCCTAATTAACTTAGACATTATACATGCGAACGGAATTCTACAATTCCGGATACATTACAAAATTATAGAAGATTTCAAAATTGGAGTTTGGAAGTTTAGAAATATTGGGAATGTATTATTTCTGCAAGAAACCGTTTCATCTACAGTAGAGTTCTAACTGGAATTACCTCCAAGTCTCTTAATACTAACGACATCAATCATATCTGTGACACTATTGGTGCCAGGTGAACATTATACCATGTTCTCACACTCTGGTCGGCTCGCTTCCTAATGTCAACTCGAAACTTGGATACTCAACGTCAGTCTCGCGTTATTGAATTTAAAATGAATATGCTCCCAGGATAAAACGTCGACCCTGCATTGTATAAAGTTCCAATCTCTAATTTTCCAAATCTATAAACTAAAGCATTTGCTCGACCCGGAATATCAACAATATTACTCATAAATCTGTTGAAGGCTCACACCGAGGTGTTACACTTTCACCTCCTAGTCAAAATCGTACGATGCTAAAATAAAAGTTTTAGGAAGCAGATAAGTAAAGAATAATCCATTCACGATTTGTCAGAATGGTCGGAAACGGCTACATATGTACACGCCATACGATTACTCGGTTCTGGGAACACGCGACTTTTGCCGCTCCTCCCGCGTCTCTCCCCGTACATCTTTATCGCATCCGTCGGGGTCAAAGTTCGAAAACGTGGCCGGTTATCAGGAGGCTGCCTCGAAGTTCGTAGCGTGTATGTATCTTTCCTGGACGTGTTTATGCGCGTGCATAGGTGGATCTGTTCGCGTGTGCCGGTCGTAACGACATGCACGGAGCGTAATCGCGTCGAAGAATCGAACCGGCCTTTCTCTCCCGACGCCTCTTCTCTCGTGTTCGTTCCGTTACCATACGGTCACCGTGCGCTTATCTCCCACCTTCGCGAGAAACTTCGACCTGAATCTCTTTAAAGGCTGGATTACGCGTGGCCGTTTCGTTTCTCGTTTCTCTCGAATGATCTTGTTTGCCCGCGAGAGGAACCGGCACGTTGCCATGCGACTTGGACGGAGAAATTTTTCCGTTATCCGAACGACAGTTTCTTTTTTCACATTTTTTTTTTACTGTCGGAATCCGCTTTTGTTCGCGCACCTTCGAAGTTTGCGCAATGCACGATTTCGTTGGGCTACCGTGTGGCGATGTGCAACGTTTGTCGATTTTGCAATTTTACGACTATAATTACTCTTCTCAATATTACTAATATGACAAGTGACAAGTATGTGTTTAGATAATTTCATAGTTTTCGCAATTCTTAGCTTTTTATATTTTAAATACTTGATTGTAAAGTTCCTACGTCAGTGGATTACTAGATCATTCTCTAAAGGAACCTCTATTTCTCTTTTATAAAAGCTTGAAAATTTGACGATATGAATGTTTCAAATTTGAATATCTCTTCGTTTAAAATTTGTTATATACGGGACACGCGTTACAAAATGCCAATACGTTGGTCGTCGGTGGCGGAAAACGATTCGTACGCAAATAAACATGTCTACCTTGTGTAATGTAACCAAAATGTATTTCACAAGATTTCTTGCAAAACGCGATAACACCATGGTGTGGTGAAATTTTTCATGAGAGATTTGAACCACGTAAACAAGACTCTTATTTTTTCTGTCGATAAAATTTTTTCGATCTTCGACATTTTTTATCCTAAATTTTTATCGTACATGTAATGTTTCTTATTACGTTCGTATTACATTAACACAGAAATGTATATGTTGTAGTGGTACAAACTGCAAAGTCGAAACCATCAAATCAACTAAAAAATTAAAATATAAAAGTGGCGATTAAAATCCATTATACATTGCGTAAGAAATTCTAGTCATCTAAGCAAACTAAACAAAATTGGCAAAAAGTGATATGACACTTTGCACGACAGTCTACAGGTATAAATATTGAAGCAAGTATATGTTTAAAAAAAAAAAAAATAAAAGATAAGGAAAAACGTAAAATGGTCAACGGTCATTTAATTGCCACATAATCTTGGGTTGTTAAGTTTCAGAGACGTAAATTATCGAAAATAAAATATAAGTACGTTACACAGGTTTAATAGGAACGCTCGTGATAAAAGCTTTTTTACGACCTCGCTATACCGCGACGCAGTCTGCAACATGTAATTTCATAATTTAGATCTTCTGATATTTTTTATGAACTACAAACATCTTCTAAACTAGCCTGTCGCATAATTCGATCATTTAAATCCATTTATTCTAATTTGAAACGAGTTCTTTGAACTAGAATCTTCTTGGAATAACTTGCTTGAGGAAGAAACAGGAGCAATTAGAATGATCAAATTATGTGGTATCTGATAGTTCAATTATTCTGAGTTCGATCGTAAGTTACGGTGATTAGAAATTTGCATATTTGGGAATTTAAGGCGGGGGGTTGTAGGTTTGGAAATTTGGGGATTTGGTGATTTTGGGATTTGGAGACATTTGTGGGCATCTTGAGAAATTTAGAAATTTCAAATTTGGGATTTTGGAGAAATTAGAATTTGTCAACTGGTACCTTCAGAAATTTAGAAATTTAGAAATTTCAAATTTGGAATTTTGGAGAAATTAAAATTTGTCAACTGGTACCTTCAGAAATTTAGAAATTTAGAAATTTCAAATTTGGAATTTTGGAGAAATTAAAATTTGTCAACTGGTACCTTCAGAAATTTAGAGAAATTTCAAATTTGGGATTTTTTCGATCGTAAGTTACGGTGATTAGAAATTTGCATATTTGGGAATTTAAGGCGGGGGGTTGTAGGTTTGGAAATTTGGGGATTTGGTGATTTTGGGATTTGGAGACATTTGTGGGCATCTTGAGAAATTTAGAAATTTCAAATTTGGGATTTTAGAGAAATTAGAATTTGTGAATTGGTGCCTTCAGAAATTTAGAAATTTCAAATTTGGGATTTTGGAGAAATTAGAATTTGTCAATTGGGACCTTCAGAAATTTAGAAATTTCAAATTTGGAATTTTGAAGAAATTAAAATTTGTCAATTACTACCTCCAAAATTTTAGAAATTTCAAATTTGGTTTCAGAAATGTAAAAAATCAGATTTATAAATTTAAATATTTGTCATTTAAAAATTTACAATTCAATAACCTAAAAATTTTGTAAATTTCAGTAATCAAATTTGTATATTCAACCTTTGAAAAAGAACGTTAGTTTTCCCTCTACTAAAAAGAAGCTAACACCCGGATGTGCACGGTGATGTTCTCGCATGAGTAACGTGATCAATTTTGTTTCAACTCTTTTTTATCTACGAGCATGAAAAAGGAGTACAAATATCAGCAAACGAATCGCCAATCATCGTTTTGCATACGAAGGACAAAGCGATATACGGTATCAGTCACGCGACCGATGGCAATTCGATACCGCGTATGTGGATCCGCTGGGCAAACACACGTCCTCGGAAAAGTCCACTCTGTAGATCTGACCGTTGTTCAGGATCACATCAGACTTATCGATTTGACCTCATTATTTAGAGATCCACGCTCGAAAAATATCAGATAACAAAAAAACGAAAAATGTACGAAAAACCTTGCATCGTTACAAACGTATCGGGTGAGAGACTTGAGGTTAATGTCTGCAGTAACGCGATACCATTGGGGTATCGATGCCAGTCAAGCTTATCTCGTAAATAACAACGTTAAAAAACATTTTTACATAGCAATTTTCGTTTTAACAAGCTAGTGAACTATTACGAGATAGGGGAGGTTAGGATAACAGAGGTTAGGACACACAGAACTTTTTTATTTCCCATGAAAACATTCTTATATGTCTAGAAACAAAAAATATTTAAGAAATTAAAATTTGTCAATTGGGACCTTCAGAAATTTAGAAATTTCAAATTTGGAATTTTGGAGAAATTAAAATTTGTCAACTGGTACCTTCAGAAATTTAGAAATTTAGAAATTTCAAATTTGGAATTTTGAAGAAATTAAAATTTGTCAATTACTACCTCCAAAATTTTAGAAATTTCAAATTTGGTTTCAGAAATGTAAAAAATCAGATTTATAAATTTAAATATTTGTCATTTAAAAATTTACAATTCAATAACCTAAAAATTTTGTAAATTTCAGTAATCAAATTTGTATATTCAACCTTTGAAAAAGAACGTTAGTTTTCCCTCTACTAAAAAGAAGCTAACACCCGGATGTGCACGGTGATGTTCTCGCATGAGTAACGTGATCAATTTTGTTTCAACTCTTTTTTATCTACGAGCATGAAAAAGGAGTACAAATATCAGCAAACGAATCGCCAATCATCGTTTTGCATACGAAGGACAAAGCGATATACGGTATCAGTCACGCGACCGATGGCAATTCGATACCGCGTATGTGGATCCGCTGGGCAAACACACGTCCTCGGAAAAGTCCACTCTGTAGATCTGACCGTTGTTCAGGATCACATCAGACTTATCGATTTGACCTCATTATTTAGAGATCCACGCTCGAAAAATATCAGATAACAAAAAAACGAAAAATGTACGAAAAACCTTGCATCGTTACAAACGTATCGGGTGAGAGACTTGAGGTTAATGTCTGCAGTAACGCGATACCATTGGGGTATCGATGCCAGTCAAGCTTATCTCGTAAATAACAACGTTAAAAAACATTTTTACATAGCAATTTTCGTTTTAACAAGCTAGTGAACTATTACGAGATAGGGGAGGTTAGGATAACAGAGGTTAGGACACACAGAACTTTTTTATTTCCCATGAAAACATTCTTATATGTCTAGAAACAAAAATATGTATATAAGAAATAATAGAGACCACTCTCGAACCGCCATTTTATGTAGTTGATAAATGTCAAAATAAAATTGGACATTATATTCCTTTTAAACAATATCCTCCTGTACTTGTACAGACGTCATAATACTAATAAAACACTGATAATTATTTAAATCACTATTTACTAATTTATAATGCAAATTTTTGTAAATTATAACAAACGTGATTTTGTTAGGTTAGAGTCAAAACTTTCTACCGCATGTTCTGCCTACTGTATATATCGAACTTTATGTATTACCTACCCATGTAAATGAATAACAAGGCTTTGTTAATAACAAAAGCTTGTTGCAAAGACAAATATCACTGGCCGGTCTGTTTTACGTATAAAATTAGTCTGCACGTCATGCTAACTTTCTTTCGATTCGGTATGCGCGCGCAATTTTTACCGGATATCGTTCGGCTCCCGAAAAGCGCGACGTCGTTCTTTGTTATGACGGATAACGTACACGATTTCCTAGAATCTTGTGTTTAAGTTTGTTATAAAACACTAGCTGGTATGTGTGACATGACTACCGATAAGATATTTTCAGGGTCGTATTATTGCGTTTGCGTGTATCCGTTAATATCGCACACGTTGGAACTACCAACTTTAAAATAAAAACATTCATTAGCATGACCGCCCGACACTCGACGTCATTTTAATAAATATTATGCAATCGAGTACGTAATTGGTCATTAAAATTTTGTTGATCGTGCAGTTGAAACGAATCAGACTGAAAGTTACGTACACCATGCAGTTTATAACCATGTGGCGAACATCCATATGGATGATTCATATGCAGATCGAGATCCTTATTATTAATTCGTAAACCTGCAACAATAATGTCATGACCGAGACGAATATATCTATTTGTTTGGTCATTATCATGGTAAGGTGTTTAGTCAAGTATTTGTTTTACAAATTTTGAAGAGAAAGCGTGTGTCTATTTTTGAGGCTGAGTAAACGAAGTGTAATTACATGGACGATTTCATGTTTACAAAGTTGGAAATTTGGGAACTTGATTTAGCATCTGACTTAGAACTTTTAATCGAACATAGATCACGAATTCTAGATTCAAACCTCTTTGAGGAGATATTATAGTTTATACTTCAAAATAACAGCAACCTCGCAAAGAAAAGAGTATTCCAGTTTTTAGAATTATTATTCAAGCAATAGATCAGGGTCCATAGTCTAGTAGCTACGTAACTGAGAATCAAGCCACCCCCACTCCGCGCAGTGCGCAGTCGCCAGCGCATGCGCAGTTCAACAAACCCATGTCTGGCAACATCGCTATGACCACGTCGTCACGGTCACCTGAATTTTCGTGGAAACACGACGCTGCCACGAGCACGGATAAGGTACGCGATAAATGCTGCCAGAATATCGCCTGTAATTGCTTTTAGAGCTTCGAACAATTAGTGAACTGCAAAAAGTTCAGTTGCAAAGCATCAATGGAAGACACAGAAAGAGAGATTTTTATTACCGCTCGAAGAACCGCGAAGAAAAGAAGCTCGTTTGGGATGTACGGGGATTTAAGCGGAACGCGTACGGAGACCGGAATAGCCGGGACAGAAAGCGACACCGTATATGTACTATATCACGTGGCCTGGTAAAACAAGTGCGTGGCAAAAAAGATTTCGACGTTGGAAGAGTGGCAGCACCGTGAACATGGATTACGACGACGACACGTCAATGTGCCCGCGAACAATAACATGATAACCGGCCTTCGTTGATCGATTATCGGGCCAGTTTATTTCCATGAACGCGATTCCGTGCGGGGAATACGTGGTGGCTCGTGACGACCGATATTGGTATAACTGTATTACGTTGCACCGTACGGTCGCACCGAGAAAATCGAATACGTCGGTTATGCGTTCTAAAATACAAGCAGAAAATATGGCTTCGCATTGTACGTAGAAACGTTAATTCGGTTATAGGCGGAGATGAAAAATGCACGGAAGTGGCAGGCTCTGAGAATTCGAACTTTCTATATGGCTACATAAATTACTCCTGTCTCCAAATTTTTGAATACATCAATTCAAGTACGCGGGATTTATAAACGTGATAATTTAGGAATCTAAGAATTTAGCAATTGGAAGTTGGAAATGTGGGCTTTGACAGTGGGTGAAAATCGCTTTAGGAAATTAAGCTGATTTATAGAACTCATTGAACGAATAACTCGAGCACGGAGATGAATTTTATCGTGCTATTCCTTTGTCTACGGGGTATTTAGTCCATCGTTTCGGTTTGCTTCAATTTCATTTAAATCTATTCCGAGCCACGAAATATACGTATTTCTACGGAATAGCCGTGGAATATATTTTACCGAGTTATTAAACCGTTCGATACGTCTCTGGTAACGGTCATTTAACGTCACAAAATGAATGCATGAGCAATTCAGAAAATTAAGGCTTCTTATTAATTGCAGATATTTAACGGTTCTCGTGTTACGTACATAAAAATACCTGCATGCAGACAGATTTAAAACGTATTCCAAAATTAAACCTCTAATATTTTGATCTTTGTATAATTCAAATATGAAATAATAAAATTGAAATAGTCTTTCTAAAAATACTGTTTTTGGACAACTTTTGAAAATGAAAATTGTTTTCCATACGTTCTCAATCTTCGGAAATCTGAAATACTCGAAATTCCCAAACACAGTTTATTTCCCTAACGTTTTAAAATAAGCAACGTTTATGACGTTGCAAAAAAGTTTCGAAGCACATCTGTGCGTACAACGTCCGAGTCGAAACAAAAATAAGCATTATGAAACCACGAGGTCGAGTCAACCTTGACCGTAACACTGCAAAGGTTAAGACACGAGCAATAATATTCGTGTTGAATCAAAAGTACATATGTATTTTTATCCTCGCGCCAGATTTTTAAATAAAAGCGTAGCTGCGAGGAGCGCCATTGAAAAATTACGATATACGGTTGGCGCGTGAAAAATCGACGTTCGATAGCCTGGCTCGATACCGACAGCTTCGAGTTCGTGCTCGATACGATCAAGATACGTTTGTTCACAATGGAGACACTTTTCGATAGCGATTGCTATCGAAATCGGCGCAATCCAATATTGTATCTCATATGAAATGGCACGAGGCAAATATATTGTGTTGTTCTTTATCTGTCTGCATCGGTATTTTAGCATGTCATGTTAGAAGTACTTACTCTTTGTGGTCTTCACTGATAAACGCGGTTTTATACTTTGGACTTTCATTATTTTAGTTCGGTGCAATAATACCAACTTTCAGGTGGTCATGAAATTTGTTGAAATTTTTATTTTATTTTATACTGATATTTTTTGGTTATTTTAGTTTACTAATTTTTGGTTATTTAGTTCACTAATTTTTGGTTATTTACTTAACTAATTTTTGGTTATTTTAGTTAACTAATTTGAGCTCATTGGTATGAAAATATCTAGATCCCTATATTTCCCAATTTATATATTTTTATAAGTCCCTATGTTCCTCCAAGAGGTCCCTAAAATCAAATATCCCCAAATCCCTACATATCCCTATTTACATTTCCAAATCCCTATGTCCCAAAGATCCTATATTTTCAAAATCTTGTCTCCCTAATTTTTTTTATTTCCAAATCCCTAGTCCCCAATATTCTATGCCCACCTCACTCCCCAAATCTTCATTTCCAAACCCCATAATCCTCTATCTCTACTTTTGCTTAATACCAACTAACTGTTGATATTTTTTTGATAAGTACGAGTCAAATTTTATCAGATTACTCATGCTGTTATCTGAATACACACCAACGTGCGTATCATGAAAAACAACTTATGATACCGATAAACGACTAGAGCAGTAACATAACTTGTTCTTTCATTTTTTCATACTACACATTTTTCCATAAATCGTTGTAAACATCATTATCACCCATTTCTATTATTCTATTTTTTCCAAAGAAATGAAAACATCAGATGAAAGCTCAGGTAAAATGCAATGAAAGATCACATGTGTTGGTCGAACGTGTAAAGTCGAAGGCGTTAAAAAAAGAAGAGACGAGTGAATTAGAATGGACAGTACGTAAATTTTATCGAACGAAAGAGAGAATGGAACAGCCGGTCGTCCGTAACAACGATTCAATGTCGTTTTACCTGCTTCCTGTGTGACGTGCGATTTAATTAATTCCCGCGACGTGACTCATCGCAAAAAGCTGCATTTATACGTGCCAAATTGACAATCAAAATATTTTACCCATCTTCCAGCGAAACTATATTTACGGAAAGATAAACTCATTTCGTGTCTCTGCAAGAGAGACGTATATACTCTCATTTGATAAAAAAAGGGGTTCATAAAAAATTCTTAAAAATATTTTTCTTATAAATCACTAGCAGGTTTAAGTACATATTCTTCTGGTTTATATTGGAATATTCTTTAAGGTAAAATTTTATGAATTTAAGTTGGAAACATCCTATTTGTGCGAGCATTACAAAATCAGCAAGGATCAGTGTCCTTTGTTATGTACATTAAGATCAGCACACATGTATATAGATTACTAGTTGATTAATTTATTAGATTGATGTCATCATTAGTTTACAAGTGATGTATCAATAGTAATTTACTAGTTAATTCAATAGACTAATACAAATGATACATCAATCTCAAAAATTGATAACAATGTACCTTATACTGAAAGGTCTTTCTATATTTCAAGAAATACACTGTGCAAATAATTATTATTTTAATAGTGCAAATAATAATTATTATTTTAATAGGGCAAATAATAATAATTTTGAATAGATCCATTCAATATACTTATAGTATAGGAAGATAAATAAAAGGATTGAAATTTACCCGTGCGAGGGAAACCTGTGCTGAAGATGCTGTGGCTCGTAGTATTGTGTGGTAAGGGCTCGTTCGTCCAAGGTATGCTCAGTCGCGTGAGCCTTCGCTGCGGACTTGATATCCATGAACGCCACCGTCGCGGAGGCACCCCCGGTGCTGCCTGAGGAACCGCTGCCCCCG